GTAATGCCAGGAGCCCCTAGTAGCGTCCTTGCTCCTAGTAGCGATGCGTATACAATTGTTGTTACAGTCTGAAGGAAGACATTCTAATCATATGTTACGTGTTTTTTTACATTTATACTTCACGTTTATTCTAGAGATGAGGATCCTAAGTATAGTTGAATTACACTTAAATGTTTCCCGCACGTGGCCGCAAACGGGCATCAACGGGATGGGAGTGACTTAGCCGTTTGTTCCAGCCCTGTTTGTTTGCTTTCTGCAAAAAGAAGGCAGATGTTTGGTCTTCGAATGTCTCTGAAGAAGTGGCGTTTGTTTGAGGCCATCAATTTGTCCAATGTCCAAGGGAACAGCCTGAATGACTCGAGCGAGGAGATCACTTAGATGATTGGTTGAGACTTCCAACATCAAGGCATCAAGATGCACCATATGTTTTGTTGGTGTCTTTGTTGGCGTCTTGCTACCACGGCTAGCAGGAATTGAAAAAGATTGCGAGGCTCTTCAATGTGCGCTCTGTGTTGTTCTTCAATCCCACTGACGTTCGGCATGTCCTTCATTGGCAGAGTTATCAAGGTCGATCTCCGTTCTTGTCGGCTTGAGTCGTGATGACGTAGCTTACTGACAAGGCTTACAAAAAAAAACATGAAGTTCGAAGCTCTTGTAACCTCCAATGGTTTAGAGACATATCAAATTGAGACTATGATTCTTGTTTGGTGTCTTCCAAAGGTGTTGAACTGTTTAGCTGTAAAGGGTTAGAGAGAGAGAGAGAGAGCAATATGTTTGAACACTTCAAAGCTCGTGTGGCTGCTCCAAATTGCCATGGCACTTCATGGATGAGGAGGAGTGGAGCTCGCTCGATTCGCTCGATGCCACCTTTTGCTTGATTCGTTTGGCCCAGGTTGTTTTCAGTGTTTGCGTTTGTTTGCGGACACACTCCACTTACAGCAGTCGCTTCCCTTACTGCGTGTCGTTGAAACATGTTCCAAGCATGCTCCGTCGGCCGTGCGATCGCGGAAGGCCAAGGCCTCGCGGCGGGGCTGTTGCAGCAAAGGCCCAAGAGGCGCCGAGGGACCGTCGAGCCGCGAGTCTTCGTGGGAGGTCGTTTTAGGTCATTGTCCGGTGAGGTGTGATGAGGTGTGTGTGTTCCTTTTTCTAAAGGAATTTCTCAGACATTCGGAACTGTTTTTGTTGAGGAACCACAGCTCAGCTCAGATAAATCATTCGATACGGAAGTTGACAGAAGATGAACAGGTCTTATCAAGTGTTGGTGGCCATTTTGACCATTTTGACCCAACCCCAGCTCATTTTTGCTTGTGCAAGGGGCCGTGGCGGATTCGGATGAACTCTTCCAGCTCATCAAAGATATTGACTGGTCGCAGAAGAAGCCCGTGCTCACACGGGAGGCGCGCTGCGCGACAAATCTGGCACTTGCCCTCACACGACTTCAGTATCTTCTTAATTATACATGCATGCAATAATTAGATAAATTAGGGATTCAACATGCTTGCATACATGCTTCCACTACCTCCAGTATGGCTTCATTTTTTCGCTCCTGGCTGGTGTGGTGTGACCGACCCCCCCTGCTACACGACGGTCAGTCCCAGACCTGAGACCTTCCAGCTCAGGTGACCATTGGGCAAGATCGATGGGAGCGCGGCAGCATCTTGATGAGCGTGGGCGACCCGGGTGGACCGCAGGAGATTCGCCTGCGAGGAGGACGGAACCGAGAGATCATGAAGAAGGCCCTTCAGGAGCCGGACGAGACGACGGGTTGGAGTGGTATGTTTCGTCCATGGGGTTTGATCTCCGGGGCATACTGTATCCATTTGTATCCTGTTATATACTGTATCCTGTTGAGCAGGCAATTGAGATGTTTGTAGTGCCACTAAAAATCAGAGTCAACGTTTTTTGATGTTTTTTGTGTTTGCCTTTGGAAGCAGGAATGCCTCGATGCAGACCGTATCTTGGCGCAGTGAGAATTGATTTCTTCCAGAGAATGTCAATGCCTAAACAAATAACAATTTAATTAGTTGATGAAACAGTGAAGCACCGCAACCCATGGAACCTTTCAAACGTGAATTATGTAAGTCCTTTATTTCCACCTGCAAGCCTATGTCTAGCTGATTTTTCACTTTCCTCCACGTAATATGTGGTTTTTGTTGCTCGCTCTCCAAATAAGAAGCCATCTCTGAGGACCGGTGTGGGTCGGTTTGAAGCGCTTCCGCGTGGGCATGCCCTGGTGTGTGGTGCTCCGCTGTCCCTGCCTGGTCATCTCCGTGACCTTGGTGGGCGTCCTGAGCCTCATCGGGATCAGTGTGACATCGGCATCCATCTTCCTCAACACGAACTTCGAGCCTCGGCATGACCCCCACGACCCCGGACAGCGGGACGGTGGGACTCGACACGACCCCCACGAAAAATTAGTGCTCCCATGCTGGCCCATACATATGGTACATATATATATATATATATATGTTCTCCAAATTGTTCTCCAACCAATAGCGAATAGTAGAAAAAGATTTGAAGAAGGCTTTAAATGCTTCCAGGCGTGCGATGTGTCTGTGTCTGTTTTTCAAAAGCGTGCATTGTAAGAGATAGATTTCGCATGTAGCTTTATCAACATGCTGGCAAATCTGGAACATGTCATTGAGAGTTTCTTCTTGAACCAAGAAGAAGAACGGTGAAAGAACAGCGTCTAGGACTCCTTCATGGACTCGGACAGTGCCGCGTCCCTGAACTTTAAGTCCATCCTACAGGCGCGAAGAAGAGAATGACATGCAGACCAGGGCCTCAAACAACAGGACCTTTGACCTTGGTGCCCGAACTTGCGTGTTCATGTTGACTTGAAGGAGGCGCTCAGGCGCATCAGTGATCAAGTGGTATTGTGAGTAGCGTTGTGAGTGGAATACTATAGGCCCCAAGTCTGGTGGGTTCAGCATGACACAAACCTGCAGCATGTGATGCAGCTGGGTCCTTGGTAGGGTCCGGCTCACTCTGATGTCCGCCGCCGCGGATTTTCCGCGTAGGCCATCCTGGATGCCCGTGAAGAGCGCGCCGGTCGGCGGCTCTCCAGTGGAGGCTCTGCTTGTTGTGCTGCTCGGTGTTGTGGAATTGATCCCTTTTGGCCGCTCAGGACCTACAGTGATGGCTTCAGGGCTGGTCTTAGAGGCACAGTTGAAACGAACAACTCATGACTCATCCCGAGTCGTTTGGATCAGATAGACAGTAAGAAAACGCAGAGCCGCTTGTGCTCCTTTTCTACCGGGTGCTGGATGACACTGCGCATCTTCTCTCTTTCTTTCTGCTTGATTCGATGCTATGTGCACACACGCTTTCTCCCACTCAATGTGACGTAGTTTTCTCAAGGTTTTGTTGGGGGTTCCAGTTGGGTTGTAGCAATTTCAGCATCACAAGAGCTACCACAGGCCCCTTCCCCTTCTTCCCATTCCCTTCATCCAATGTCAGACACGACGCTGCGCAGTCCGGGCAACACGTCTCCGGAGACGCACTCCGGTCAGTCGTCGGATGTCGTCGGGTCAGGATGGCACTCCTGCGGTTCGAAGACTCCAGTCCGGCTTGAGATTGTGGCTGGGTTTTGCCTTCAACAGCCGTTTTACGGCGATGGGTGGAAGTGAAACAAGAAGCAAGTCTTCAAGTTCCAAGAGAAGAGAGACAAGATCCATGAGTTCTGTTTGGTGTTTTGTATGTGCTTTGTTTTGTGTTTTAGACTTTAGATGTCTAGATAGTGCACAGATTGGTGACTGACTGTCGCAGAACTGGATGTCTAATGAGTCTAATGGGAGGCAATAGTGCGGATGTTGATGGATGATGGCCGAGCGGCTGGAAGCTGATTTGAACTCTGTTCATGGGGCCATGTATAAGAACGTGTGAGGTACAAAACCTATACCTTTCAGCTCACCTATGCTCGCAGAAACGGTGGCCACTCGGAATGCAAAGCTGCAAGTTGTAGTCAAACCATTCTTTGCAACAACAATGGAGGACTCCAACTTGCTGTGGGACATGGCATCCGGATCCCAAACCAGGTTTGAGTAGGGCACGCCAGCCATAGATACAAGGAGCCAAAATCATTGTTTAAAGCAAAAAAAAATGCAAAAAAAGATGGAGCCCACGCACCCAAATGCAGACACGTTCAAAAAGCTACAAATGACACTCTTGTAGGACACTCTTGTGGGACACTCTTGTGGGTCACTCTTGTAGGAAACTCTTGCGGGACACTCTTACGGGACACTCTTGTGGGACACTCTTAAGGGACACTCTTGTGGGACACTGTTGTGGGACACTCTTGTGGGACACTCTTAAGGAACACTCTTGTGAGACACTCTTGTGGGACACTGTTGCGGGACACTCTTGTGGGACACTCTTGTGGGACACTC